CTTAAACCCAAGTTTCAGGATTACAATTCTATCGGTTCACCCACAATTCAAATTGTACCAAAATTAGTACATAGTAGTACCAATTTCCAAAACTTCCTACATACCCAAACCTACACCCCCACAGTGATTTATATCGAAGTTTCAGGATTACAATTCTATCGGTTCACCCACAATTCAAATTGTACCAAATTTAGTACACCGTAGTACCAGTTTCTAAAACCTCCTAATTACCCCAAACCTAAACCCCCACAGTGATCCCAATTCCAAGTGTCAGGATTCCAACTTTATCGGTTCACCCACATTTCAAATTGTACCAAATTTAGTACCACTTAGTAGTACCCATGAATATAAATTGCGTCAACTGAATCCTGACCCCAATCCTACACCCTACAGTGATCCTGACTCCAAATTTCATTGTTTCCGTTCTATCGGTTCATCCAAATTGTACCAATTATAGTACGATTTAGTACTTTTTGTACACATCAGTAAGGATCCTATAAAATACATTTTCAGCAAAATTTTCACCATTTTGTGTGGGAGGTACCAGAGGGATACCCATTTAACATCTTGCTGGAAAAGGTCATACGAGAGGCAAAGATGACATCGACACCATGGGTCGAACATTGCGAGCGGTAACAACCTTTGAACGAATTAAGAAGGAGTCTGCCAAAGGCGGCGAGAAAACAATCTGATGGTATCAACGCGCAAGACGTCCAGTAGACTCGGACCAACTGTGGAACTTGAAACAACTGCTTCGAGGTAGTCAACGATTTTAATTACCTCGGCACCCCCATATATAAAACTAATGGCATCAATTTTGAAATTCGGAGGAGAAATATTACGAAGTGCAAAGTCTGAATGAAATCGGTCGCTCCCTTCGAGAGTTATCGTGCGCACCAGTCTGAAAAGGACAAAGAAACATGTGTTCTGAAATCAATATTTCGATGGGATATATTTTTGCAATTCTAAAAGTATTATGCAGTGAAGTGTCCGATTGGAGACCTCAAAACCAAATATGATACTTTCTTTTGTATACACCTTTTCAAAATGTTGCGATTTCTTTGGGAAGGTGCCAGTAGGAGTCGGATATGTGGTTGCTATTTAATTACGCTGATATTTCTGATCCAAATGGCTACTCTAATTTCGGATTATCTGACATTCAAATCCCAAAAAATATATTTTTGACCTTTGCTGGCTATTTATTTAGAACCCATTTGGTAGATTAGCCATGAATCACTCGGACTTGCCCAGTCAATATACCCATTAATTTTTATGTGGTGATTTTCCAAACTTGTCACTTTGTTCTAACCGTTAAAATAAATATTTGAATTTATAAATAAAATTAGAAAAAAACTAACAAAAGCTTAAGCTAAACAATAATACTTTGTTCTTATTCAGTTTTTTTTCGAAAATGTATCTCCGATTGAGGTCATGCCTTTGTATCAATTCGTATTAATTAAAACTAGAATTGAATGACGTTAATCTGTGTGTGGAAATTTGCCATTTCCTATTGCGATAATTATCAAAGAGAAACACATTGTGATGCAAGTTAATAAAAGAGAGACAAACATGTATAACAAGTACAAAAATGAAGTAAGAGAGCATACGTAAATTAAATGCTATCAATTAGTTTTTATATGTATTCATAACATGAAAATAAAAAACAAATTTAGCGCTACAAATCAATCAATTTACATGGTCATCTTATTGGCCTCTGGTGTAGCCAAAATGCGTTAATTCCCTTGATAATTGTTTTACAACAACCATTTCCTCGTTTTTTTCATCATTTTTCTTAATATCTGCCTCTTCACTTTGACAGTTTTACACCTTGACACACATTTTCAATGGTCAGATAAACAAACTGCACCAATGGTGTTAATTTATAAAAGAAAAAAAATGGAACTCTTATTTGCTTAACATTGCCAGCATCAACGGCACTCCGATTGGAGACCTCAAAACCTGCTTCCATTTTGGACCAAAAAGAAATGATGAAACCATTGTTTTTTTGTAAAGAAAACCAAAATTAAACTAAACTAAAAGCAAATAAATTTATGGGAACAGCATCAGTCAAAACTACAAATAACCACAGCAACAACAACAATTATTGCTGCCAACAAACCTACATAAAAGTTGGCTCAGCGAATAAAATACAAAAAACGTTTTTACAACATGTTAAACAAACGAGACACACACTCAAAAAAAGCCAAACATATTGCGTAAAGTAACAAAGCAACAAAATATATGTACATATGACAGTTGAGCATGGAAGGCATTTTATATTGAAGCGTCACGTATTGTCGTCTTATCCGCGTCATATTTTTATTGGCATAATGCATTAGGCAATGGACAAGCTAACTCTATTGGATATCTAAACATCGATTTTGGATTTTTAGTGGGCCAAATAAAAATATGGATATTACTAAACCACATAATGGCATTGCATTGATGTTAACATTTAATTTTTTAATAAAGAATTAAACCCTCATTACTCTGATCTATGCCTAAAATTAGGTGATCTAGATTGTTTGACATTTTCTAGGACAATGCATTTTCAAAAAAATTATGACTTCATTATAACATGTGGACATGAAATTCATAACGTCAGTACTAAAGCCGGATTGGCGGATTAACCCCCCCAACGAAACAGCTGAAGCAAGAATATTGAAGCTTTGTATATGGTGCATTGACAAGTTTTTTTAAACTCACACAAAAATGTTCAAAAACAAGTAAATTTCGGTGGAGCCAAAGATTTTATACCCTTTATTGTTGGGGACTGTCTTATGGAGACTATGCTTAGTAAAACGTGACAAAATTCCTCCTCAGCCTTATAGGGAATATACACTATAATGTGCTTCATCGAAGTATCTGCTTTAGACTCCAAGTTTCTTTGCATCAAATGCGTTTTAGATTTTTCTTCAAGTACCTCAGAAAATTTGGGTTTGATTTACAAATGTCTGTCTGGCCGGGTGGTGCGCACTATAATCGATTTAATCCAAACTTAGTTCATGTTCGAAGATGGGGAATATCGGTCCAATCTTTCCGGTACCTCTCTTAAAAAATATTAAAAATTGTGCAAAAAAAGTATATACGAACGGACTATCCAATTTTAAACAAACTTTGTATAACCAAGTAACTTTCCCAAGCTTACAAGAACTCCGAAGGTTGGACCCGTCGGTCAACTCCTTCTGGTACCTTCACCACAAAGGGTAAAAAATTATCAATATTTATAAATACAATATCAGGCAAATGGAATGTCCGAATTGAACCGAAATTTGTATAACCTATTTTCTTTACCAAGCCTATAATAAATGGTCAAAATTGTGCACAAAATTAATTTCATAATATCATGCGAGAGGACCATCCGATTTGAACCAAACTTTTTACAACCTATTACCTTTACCAAGCGTAGACGAAATTCGAAGATCAGACCCATTGGTCTCCTCTGGTACCTCCCCCACAAAGGGTCAAAATTTTCAATATTTATAAATCCCATATTAGGCGGAAATAATGTCCGATTTGAACCAAACTTTGCACAATCTATTATCTTTACAAAGCCTATATCAAGTTCTTCCACAGAAAGGGCCAGTATTTTATAAAATTGTACATTTTATTAAATTAAAGAAAATTAAAAGCCCGATTTGATCAACATTAAATCTGAAACCTCTTTCATACCATATATAAAGCGAATAATAATAATAATTGAGTGTCCGGTGTAAAAATGTGTAAAAATGTGTAATGTGTAAAAATTTTGAAAAACTGTAAATTCGATATCAATCAAATATATCAACGTCGTTCAAATATACATTAATTCCGATTGTTTGGGTCTATAGGGCATCTTCTCGTCATAGATAGTCAATTCTTTGACTAAAACCTACTAAAAACGAATCATGTATGGTCTAAACTTGGCAGAGCTAAATTTTTTAAGCACCATGAGCTTAACGTAACTTTTTGCTATATAGTTCCATGGATGGATTAAATCTGATAATCCATTCGCCTTTGTAGACGAAGTTCCTTCCACCATAAGGGTATAACAATTGGTTGATATTTTACCATTGGGAATAGATCTATTACATGTCTGACAAATATGTGGGGTTTAGAATGTTTTTTTAATTATATCGAAATTTGTAGTTGTTACGATTTTGGGGAAACCTAAATCACATATAAAAAATCCACCTTAATTTTGTTCAATCAAATTCTTTTATTGCACAATCGGTTTGGAAATCCAACAATAAATTTAAAATTCTGATTAATATATATGCAAACGGTATCAAGCTCTAGTATTATTGTTGTTAACCGTTAAAAATCGCATTTCGGAAATAAGTTTATAATCGAACAACTTTATAGTGCAATATTTTCAATGGAAATTGGTATTGCTGCAATAACTGAATGTGAACAACGAAACAACACACACAACAGAACTTAATACACAACTGTCCAGGCAACCAACCAACCGGCTGGCCAAATCATAGTTTAAGTCGTTGTATGAGAATGTTGACACATGCCGGTCGGTGTGTAGAATTATTAACAACTTTAGGCCATGAGAACTGGCCAAAAGTTTCTCAGCTGTAAATAATAAAAAAGGGTAACGGCCAGCAGCAAAGAGTTGTAGAACATTGAACTGTCAACAACACAAAGGCGTCTCTACGAATTATTACCGATTTTTCTTTTAAATTTCCTTGAAACAATTCTACGCAAAGGACACGCAATATCAATAATTGTTTGAAATATTTCTTTTATTTGATTTACAGTTCGAACAACGAGTGCAGGAAAAGGAATTGTAAACAAAACATTTTTTTGCGGAAATTGGTGGCGATTTTGTTGACAATAATTGCCTCCGCCCAAAAAAATAAACAACTATCTAATGTGAATCTTAAATGCCGACAGAGATAAGCAATTGTTGCTGATTCTATTTCATGGTATTTGTATACGAAAGCAAACAACAACCTCCTTATCATCGACATCTTCATCAACATCGTTGTCAATCATACGCCAAGATGTCAGGCCAAAAGTTTGTTGCCCTCAAGCAGTGCCTGCAGCTGTGTTGCCTCTTGGCCACATTCATTTTGGCTGGATTCTTCAGTACGGCTGGTGCCAAGCCAACCATATCCTTTAGTTTTCCCCAAGGACTACAAGGCTTTCCGACGTTTACCTCATTTACACAACAGATTATTGAAAATCGCAGTGCAAGACAAATGAAAACTTATAGGTAAGTCGATTTTGAAAAATTTCTTAAAATATTGTAGAGTGCAATAAGCACAAATGTTCTAAAGTTCTGAACATCCAAATATTATGTTTGTTTGTCGGATTTATTGTTTCCGAGATTTACCATTAAAGACAATATTAATAAAAAAATATACTATCTTATCTCAGTTTTCGAAGAATTCTGAAGAATATAATTATAATTTTCTTAAATATATTCCAGAAATTTTAAATTTATTTATTATATAAACAAATACAATTATTTACTAAAGTAAATATTAATTTTTTTTATTTGTTTCTCCACAAAAAACGAAAACAGTGGCAAACGTTTAACGAACGACTCATTACTCATGATCTACTATCACGATTCGACAATTGCGGTTACGGAATTGGGACCACAAAAACTTTTATTGGGTTGTGAACTGATTGAAATTTAGTAAGTATGATAGCAAGTAATTATGTATGCACCGAAAAAACCCCAAACAATTTTCCCACAAGAAACTGAAGCACTGTGGAATACCCAGCTGGGGTGGAACCTGTTCGTTATTCCATAAAAAATGTAAAACGAACATTTCTCACCCCATCCATTATGAGAACAAATTTTAAATCGTTTTCAGAGAATTAATAATTATATATTTTTGTAATAGAAATATGTAAAGAAACTGGTATGGGCTGCAAAGTTTAGACCACATGGAACTCACCATTTGTATTATACCAGTTGCCCTATGGACCCCATCATCGGATTTAATATAGAAATTTAACATTTTTCAAAATTCTTCCCCTGAAGAAATCAGACGATATGTGCCAATGAGACCCATCTTTTAACATTATGCAGGCACGGTTAGAATATTAGGTTGTGCAAAGTTTCGTTCAAATCGGATAGTTTTTTCTCATGATATTATAAAATTAATTTTCAGCAAAATGTTGACTGTTTGGTGTGGGGGTACCAGACCAATTGTTCCCATCTTCGAACATAAATTGTCTGAAATGGATTTGGTGCAAAGAAACATTTGTGATCTTGAAACTCCATATTCATATTAATATTAAATATTTGAAATTTTATATATTTCGAACGTAAACCTTTCATTTCAACACAAGCATACTAAAACCTTCGTCAGCGCCATCTATTGATGGATATGTTCAAATCTTTAAAATATTTAGAAATTAAACAATTTATTGTTTTTTACAAGAAAGTACACAATTTACTTTTCAAATGACACCAATTTAATATAAATATTTACAGTACGATAAAAGTTATAGGAAAAACAGTTGAGGTTTAAATTTTGCATAATCGGTTATTGGATCAAATAATGTTTGCCAAAGATGCCAAACAGAAAATTACGGTTTTGTGAGACGGAGACAATTCTTTCCATATGAAACCACTTCAATTGAAATATCTACTATGCGACAATAGTTATGACAAAAGAAATGAGGTGTACAAGTTTTAAGAAAGCGCCGTCAGTGCCAGCTATTGAGGTGCATGATTCAAATCAGGCTAATCAATATTTCAACCCCTACTTTCGAAGCGTATAACTTTTGCAGTGATAATCGCATTTCTACCACACTGATGTCATTGAAAACGTTAATAGTTGAAATTAATCTTTGCCTGATCGATTTTTGGGTCTACACAGCTAATAGATGGCGCTGATGACAATTACATGCTAGTGTTGCCATGTTAACTGAATATTGCCGGTATTTTAGATTCTTCATAACTATTGGATGCGTGATGGTACAGAAATAATTCTAATGAATATTACTTAGAACATCCACTATCCAATATGTTTCTAGAGGTTCCGGAAATTATACAGCCTTTTTCTGGATATTCGCTGGGAGATATCTCGCACATACAAAAATTTTCGCTTTCACATTCTCGCCTTATTCTGAATGAATAGGGAGACGCAAAAAATGCGAGATGCGGATTCGAGTTTTCGAAAATGGTGGTTGAAAAAAAGATTCGTGTTGCCATATTATAATTTAAGTTGTAATGTGTGTTGCCATATTGTAATTTAAGTTGTAATGTGTGTTGCCCCATTGTAATTTAATTGTGTAATATTTTTCAATATTTTATTTATTGATTATTTTATTAGAAATTGTTACTTGTTATTGTGGTTTAAACTTTATAACAATATAAATGTGAAATATCAAGAATCCGCTTTATAAATGCTTTGTAATTAAAAGAAAATTAATTAAAGTTTGAAAATATGGCAACCTACAATATGACATGTGAAACAGCTGTTCATTGTTTTGATGCATTTTGGTACAACAACTACAATAGATTACAAATAAAAGAACATTTTTTATGATGGGAAAAACACAGGCACATAATTGTGTGTCTTTTTATTTAATTTCGATATTTTATCTCTCCAAATTCTTAAAGTGGCCTGTTATGCTCCTACTCCTTTATTTCTTCCTTCAAATAATGCAAACGATAATTTTGAAAAAATTTTTTTTTTGTTTCATAATTTTTATTTAAGTTGTTCACTGTTAAGCGGCTCATTAGGCAAATTTTGTTTTTCTATAATTTTTTTCTTGAGATACAGATCCTCACCCAAAATGTCTGTTTTTCGCCTGCATCAAACTCGACTTAAATATTCATTATTACCTTTATACATTCCTTGGCAATATTTGGTTCAGCATGCATCATTATCAATAGGATTTCCAAAGACATTTTATTTGCTGTTTTCCAGATAAATATTTGCTTACTATCATTTATAATATTCTAAATCGTCATAGAATAAGTATTGTGTTAATATTCTTCATAAAAATATTTATTACTTATGTTTTTGTAGTCAACTCACTTTGAATTTATTAGCGAAAAAATTCGCACAAAATTTCATCTCATTCTCCTACTCCCTGTAATCCAGAATACCTAATTTTCCACCAAAGCGGATTTTTTCGCTTTCGAACTTCATTCAGAATAAGGCAAAAGCGAGAATGCGAAAAAATTCACAGGAAAATGTGGTTCAGAATAAGTCGAATTGGAAGAGCGAGTAAATTCACGTGGAATTGACATCCAGAATAAGGCTGATAGTTTATAAGGTTTTATAGCAAGAAAATACGATGAAAACTTACAAATATCGATTTCTATCGAGTGTAATAAAACCAGAAAATACCAAAACGCAGACAATTTGGTTTGAAAATGTGGCCAAAATTCTTAAAATATCGTAAGTCAGGATACCATGCGGATATATCTAAGTTGCACCACCAAAAGTTAATAACCTACAATTTCTTTCTGTCACTTCTTAAATCAAAAGATAATGTCTAACTAACAAAAAGTTGATCGGTGGGGAGTAATGTACTTTGATTTGTTTTAAAAAGGTCAAAACATAAATCGATACCCGGAAAACTTTGACTACACGTCTCACTAAAGCCATAAGTGAAGTTATCGTGCGTTTTGCCTTTTGTGTGTGTGTGTTAAGCTGGTAGTACAAGCGCGACGACTCGTTTAATTTGCATAGCTTTTTATGTTTTTTTTATTCCAGAGTTTAATTTGCCAAAGCGGAAACGTATTTCGTTGGATTGTTTGATTTCTTAATGAATTGGTGCAAAATTGGCAAGGTTATCATGAAATTGGCACGGGGAAGGTAGGGGAGTGGGAATGATTTCAATATACAGCAATTGAATGGAATGGGTTAGTAGTGGATTTTGCGCCAATACTAATTAAAAATGTTAGACATGTCCCGTCAGAGGACATTTTCTTTGTTTAATTTTATTCCATGAGTGTGTTCGGGCGGGTGTTGCTTTTTTACAAATAAAGCAAATAGTGTACATATATTTTATTATTAATTTTTGTTCTCATAATTTGTACTTATTTGCTATATTACTAAATTTGCAATACGTCACTTGCATTTTTTTTTTATTTCTGTTTCTGTTCTTCCCTATTGTAGCAATGAACAGGAAGGCAAAATGCTTTTGGAAAACCTTTCCAAATATAATCGTCCCCTGGAAATAAAATTCGACGAAATGTTAAAATTAATGCGACAATGTGAACGTGTCGACAAGCTAACCTATGCCGCAAGAAATACAGGAAAATCTTCTGATACACCGTCATCGACTGAGACGAATATTGCCTTAAATTTGGCGGCAAATATTTTCCCCAAAAGTCCTCTGTCAATTCTGAGTGGTATTATACCAGGTATGTCGTTAATAAATGCAATACTTTTTTTACTTTTAAATAATCTGTTAATTTTCATATAGGTACAAAATGGTGCGGTACTGGTGACATAGCAGAAACTTATGATGATTTAGGTACTGAAACTCAAATGGATCGTTGTTGTCGCCAGCATGATTTGTGTCCAGTGAAAATTCGAGCCTACCAAAGAAAATATGATCTCACCAATGATTCGCTGTACACAAAGTAAGTGGATATGTAATGTGAATGGTGTTATTATTTTGTTTTATTTTTTTACGTAAACAGATCCATAGTCAATACGGAATTATTGTTAGCTCATGAAGCTAAAATGGCAAAAAATCGAAAATCATCGAAATGTTTTTTAGACTGCAAGTTTCATCGGACCAAATCCGTTTCAGACAATTTGGAGTAGATTTTCAAATGTCTAATGCCATGTTCTGACGGGCATTCGAACAACGTAGTTCGCTCTCAGAATTACGTACATGAACACGTTCATACAACACTATTCCTAATTCATTTCATCAGAGTTTTTTATTTCAAACTTTTTGTTTCTTGTTTTACGCCAAAATTCTAACATATTTACATGAATCAAATATAGATCTAAATAGAAAAATTAATTCTCTTTCTCCTGACTATAGTATGAACCCATATCTATTTACTTTTAATTCATGTTTTCCATTTTTTCTAAAAATATTGTTGTTTTCATACATTTTTATATTTTCTAAATTCAAATGTCACATATAAAAATTTGGGGAATTTTTTGTTTGAGTGTCCTCAAATTTGTTTCTTGTTTTGTACGCTAATTAAAACCATGGGGAAAGAAACTCACATTGCATTATGTAGATAACAAAATTTACATCCTGCGTCATATATAAAAACTAGACAATTTTTTACTTTTCATTCATAATTCTCAATATTACTAAAAAAGTTTGAAAATTTTATAAATATTTTCAAGCTGTCAAAATTAATTTATTTTCGATAAATGGTCTCAGTTGTTAGGGATGGGACAAATTTCTTGGTGATTCAGAGAGCGATTCGAATTGAACAACGTACAAAAGTCGGTGTTCGCTCAGACAATTTTGTATAGGGAACTAAGTAATTACTTCATAATTAAGGGTCGAACAACGAATGAGAGAGCGAACAACGCTCGTCTGTACAAGGCATAATAGAGATAAGTAAATCGAATTTAGACTAATCGAATTTTTGTATTGAAAAATCTAAATGTCGAAATCGACTTTTCATCATTGAGAAAGTCACAAAGTGGAGTTTTCAATATCAACTTTCGATTTTCTTCATAAATACTTGTTTTATTACCCCAAATCCCAAATTGCCCTAAAATTACGCATTCTAGAACTTTATTTTATCTGTTGACAACAATTTATATACAAATCATGGTATAATAATAGAAGGTAACAGCAAGTGTTGTTGTACAAAAAACGATACAACAACCAGTGTCAACTCATTTGACAGAAAAATGTAAATAAACAAACAAATTATCATCAAATTATTTTTATTTTGAAAATGAAATATTTTCGAATCCTCAAAATAAAAATTGAAAAACATGAATGAAAATCTATCAAATTTATATTTCTATCTATTCCACATCTTTCCTATAATTAAGCCATTGCCATATATATGTGTAACACATATGAAAATGCTGGGAATAGCGAGTTATTCCTTGAAGAAAGATTTGCTTCCTCAAACTTCCCAGCAGGCAGATTGAGTAAATTGAATACAGGAGCACATTTAATAAAGAACAATTTCAAATTGTATGCGTTCCCAATTTTCCTGTTGGGTGATTTTTAAAAACATAATTTGTCAAATTCATATTGACACTAGTATAACGTCGGAATCAAATCAGCTGGGTACAATTATAAAAGGATAACAGCAAATCCCAGCTGATTTGATTCCGACGTTATACTAGTGTCAATATGAATTTGACAAATTATGTTTTTAAAAATCACCCAACAGGAAAATTGGGAACGGATACAATTTAAAATTGTTCTTTATTAAATGTGCTCCCGTATTCAATATACTCAATCTGCCTGCTGGGAAAGTTTGAGGAAGCAAATCTTTCTTGAAGGAATTACTCGCTATTCCCAGCATTGTCATATGTGTTACACACATATATGGCAATGGCTCAATTAAAGGAAAGATGTGGAAGCGATAGAATATAAATTTGATAGATTTTCATTCATGTTTTTCAATTTTTATTTTGAGGATTCGAAAATATTTCATTTTCAAAATAAAAATAATTTGATGATAATTTGTTTGTTTGTTTACATTTTTCTGTCAAATGAGTTGACACTAGTAGAACTTACAACAACAAATTTACATGTGGTTGTTGTATCGTTTTTTGTACAACAACACTTGCTGTTACCTTCTATTATTATACCATGAATTGTACCATGTATACAAATCAAATTTTTTGTCGATTTTGAGTTAAACGGTATTTACATTAGAACTTTTTACCGGGTTAACCTTCTTTATGAGGATTTATTTGACATGTATACAATGTAATTGACAATTTAAACCCAGTGGGTTAACAAAATCCGGTACTATTTAAACGTTCTATTAGTCGGTAAAAGTCGAAAATCCATTTTTAAAAGGTTTGAAAACCTCGAATGCCAAAAAATCGATTTTTTGGTCAAAGGCAAAAATTGAAAAGTCGACTTTTGTGCTCGACTATATATCCCTAATGTCTATCCGACCGTCCGTCTCGTTGGCTGGCGTGCCAACGAGGGTGATGAAGGTGAAAATGTTGATCAAATATCAAACGAATGTCCGATTTGATCCAAGCTGTAAACATATTTTTAGTAAACCTACATCAAGTCCGGAGATGGAACTCATCGGTCAATGCCTTCTGATACCTTATGTGTCAAAATGTTGTTTATTGAATATCAAACGAGTGGAATATCCAATTTGATCCGAACTCTAAACCAGGAATATATGTGTCTATATTGGTCCAAATTTTAAATTGACATTTCGAGTTCTCAGGAAACCTGACAGAACCATTTGGTTGTAGTTTAAAGTTTAAATATAATAAGGCATATATCGTCCAGCCCGACTTCCAAATTAAGGTCACTTATTTGATATTTCAAGACTTCAGAGAGTGACATAACCCTATTTAGTCCATTCTAAGATGTATATATTAATATCTACATCACCCATGTGGTATCCATCTAATAAATTCATTAACCTCCACGAAAGTATATCTCTATATACTTAAAGTATTCATAAAAGTGTAGCTTCAATTTCGGTTTGTATTATTTATTTAGTTTTCTATATAATATATTTTGATAAGAATATTTCACCAAACTATCTATTAATTTAAACCACATATTCTCCTTTGAAGTCGGATTTTTTCCATACCACTACCAAAAAAGTTTGAAAATGTTTTGTGTAATTTTTAGAAAATTCTATTTTTTTATTAAGAACTATTTATTCCATATCAATATCATTCATATATAATTATCTTTTCTAATCATGGTCCCTCTATATTTTCTAGGTCCCATTGCATCTGCGATGATATGCTATTCTCCTGTTTGAAAAAGACCAACACATCGGCATCACAGCTCATGGGTTCGATATATTTCAATTTGGTGCAGGTACCCTGTTTGGATGGTGAGAAGGATCAATATCAATTTCGGGCGGCCAAGGAGGGTTTCTGAGACACCAACTGTCCTCTCTCTCTCTCTCTAAACGACACAGCCCAAATGTGCTTATTGGCCAACTACATTGTTAGCATGTAGTTGTTAGTTATTAATTATCTCTATCTCATGTTGTACATAGACAATAGTTAATGTAGTTATTTATATTTAATTATTATTATGTTATTTTTTTATTTTTTTATTGTAATAAATGTAAGAAAAGAGGTTAAACGTTTCTTTACACATTATTGTTCGGTGGTTATGTGGGTTGGGCCCACACCACCATAGACGCAATGAAATTTGTATGTGGTGGTCATCGTTATCGCTCGACCACAATGTTTTGTAGAAGTTTGGCCGGTTGTTGCTTCCAATTTAGCCACAATACACAAATGTGTTTTGTATTTATTTTTAATATTTAAATAATACAGTGGCAATAACAACAACGAAGAAATGTGCATAATTTACACACATTTTGCACATTAGCAATTGTTTGTTACCAAATACAAATTAAAGCGGGAGAAAAAAAATTGTATTTCTATTGTTAGCTACCTCGTCATTTTCACCATATGTTTTAATAGATGTTTATTTGAATTTGTGTTGACTGACAGCTAGTGGCTGTGCTTCGGAAACGCGCCAAAACCAAAATGACCTACATAAATATTTTATTGCTTATCATTTTCTTGTTATATATTGATAAATAATATTCGATACGGTTTATCATTTATATAGAAAAACAGCTTGCCTTTATATTCAAAGAGTCTACAAACGATATTGGTAGTCTTTTAAACAAGCATGATTACTCGTCAATAAAATAAAGTGTTGGACCTAGAACATATCTAATAAGGACCTAATTATTACTATTAGAGTAACTTCGGGTAATGTGGACCAGGCGTCTAATGTGGACCACCCCCATATCTAAAAAAATGCTTGAAATATGTCAATGCCGCCTTGATAAATGTTTTCCTAATTAGTGAAAACAAACATCAAACTTGGTTTTTAATAAATAATTGCAAAGTTGAAAATTTAGTAGTAGAAATTGTAGCTCTGATTGCAAAAGTGTGATTTGAAAATTTTTTAGCACAATAGTCGAACGTTTTTGCAAAATAATCGAACACTTGTTTTTTCTCGAATATAAGGAAGTTATGTGGTTTTCTTGTTTTCTTTAACAAAAATATGCGTTTAGCAGTAATTATAATCGGCGATTTTTAATTTTTATACATTTTTGAAGCCGGTAATTATTTTTAAATAAAAATATTCAATGTCGGGTAATGTGGACCACTATAAAAATTGGGACCTTTTTATGAGGACGAGTTCGAAACATGGGCGCATTTAATATGCGAGTAGGTATTCTATCCTCTGAAAACTCGATATGCGAAATTACAGGTGCTTCGGTTGGATAATGATGCAAGGACCTTCAAAATACCGCAAATGGTGCGATACCCTTAAATGGGGACTATTCCAAAACATAAACCCATATAATTTTGCATTCATTGTTATAACATTTTTATAAACAAATATTAATGTTATTTGACCTGGAATATATTTAGGCAACAAATCTACTATGTAGTGAAAACAATTTGTTTTTATTTTTTACCATTGTTACACCCACAATATCAAAAAAAGAAAATGGTGGTCCACATTACACGAAGTTACTCTATATTCTTTGTGATATTCTTTTCGAGGTCAGATCAAGATGGGGTTAATTATTAAGCTTTACATATTATCATTGTCGTCGATTAGGCTTAGAAATTAGTTAATATTTTTTATAAATATCCTGTTAATTGGCAATTTTATATTATTTATAAAACATCTTACAATTTTTATTTTATTTTAATTTTAATTTATTTTTAAATGTTTTTTATTTATTTTTTAATATAAATAGTAGTATTTAGTAAATGATAGAGATATTCAAAACTAGAAAATATAGTTAAATTTGTATTTCCTTTGTTGAAACAAAACAAAACAAAACATGTATTAACAAAACCTTTAATGTAAGTAATAATAACTAAGTAATTATTTAGAAAAAAATGAAATTACAATTTTGGAAGATGTCACCACGTTATGACTATACAACACTAGACTTATTTTTGTATGGGCACACAACAAAGAAAGATATTTTGAAATGATTGACACCTAAGAATTTCGCTTATTTAGTCCATGCCACCTTCTTTTGCTTCTTATTTTTCCCCATCGTGTCGACGGGTTCCAGTTTGACTTAGAAAATGCTTGCCACATTGGGTCCTGGTGGTGAATTGGTTGGCACTGGTTGTGTTGGCCTATCAATATCCTGATAGCTTCGTTGTGTTGTGGTGGGGAATACAGATCCAGTTTGTAAACTGCCGCCACGTGTATTGAATTCACGATACAAAAGGATAACACTGACAGGACGAATCAGCAGGTTGATAATTGAAAACGCCACTGCCCAGCCATCTGCGTGTAAAAATAAAATAGTTGTTAATGTTTGTGTTGTTGTGTTTGTTATTATTACATATTGTCGGTATGTCATCACTTACTCATGGCGTGGAACATGATAATAATGGTCACCATATCAAAGAATATACTGCTCGTATCAATTATTAATGCCTGCAAAATGAACATTAAAAGAAGACAAATAGTTTTAGTATGTAATTGCATTTGCATTTAAACACAATGATTTATTTAAAATATCATGTTTATATTATTAATGAATAGGAATAGACGTGAAGAGACGCGACGCCAACCTGTGTAATTATAACCCATTAAAGAAAGTAGTAAAGTCGGACGGGGCCGACTTTATGATACCCTCCATCCTAACAGACGTCGCATTTGTAAAGGACCAGTGAAATAAAATTGGATACATAAACAGGTCATTCTGCAACCGATACTAAATTTTTCATTTGGTCAGATATAGAAGCTATATCTAAATCTGAACCGATTTCAGGAAACTTAACACACATCATTCTAGACCTAGTTCATTACGCTGTGCCAAATTACGTGCAAATTGAAAGATATATAGGGACTTTGGTGGACCATTTACATTAAATCGGACGAAAATATATATGGGAGCTATATCTAAATCTGAACCGATTTTCAGAAACTTAATACACATCATTCTAGGCCTAATTCCTTACGCTGTGCCAAATTTCGTGCAAATCAAAAGATAAATGAGACTTTGGTACACCAATTACATTAAATCGGACGAAAATATATATGGGAGATATATGTAAATCTGAACCGATTTTTAATAAACTTAACGCCCATCATTCTAGACCTAATTCAATACGCAGTGCAAAATTTCGTGCAAATCGAATGATATATAGGGACTTTGGTGGACCATTTACATTAAATCGGACGAAAATATATATGGGAGCTATATCTAAATCTGAGCCGATTTTCAGGAAATTAACACACATCATTCTATACCTAATTCATTACGCTGTGCCAAATTTCGTGCAAATCGAAAGATATATAGGGACTTTGGTACACCATTTACATTAAATCGGACAAAAATATATATGGGAAATCTGGACCGATTTTTCCCAATTTGAATAGGGTTCGTCCTTGGGCCAAATAAGTGACCTATGCCAAATTTCATCCAAATCGAATCATAAATACGACCTGTACTTTGTTCACAAAAATACATGAACGGACAGACGGACATGCGTAAATGGACTCAGAAAGTGATTCTAGGCATATTCTCAAAAGGAACCATGTGTCTATCTCGTTTCCTTTTACCTGTTACAAACATATGCACAAAGATAGGGTATTATATCTTTGTGCATATGTTTGTAACAGGTAACACAATGTGGTGAAGGGTATAAAAAATAAATTAAAAGCATACTGTCAATAATGTTAGCCAAGTATATTGCATATTTCCAGGCGCATATGCATATTTCCAATATTAAGGCACGTTTAGATTAAGCCTTCTAAATCGTCTTGATTTGTAAATCGAGATATCAAATCCTGGCCGTTTAGACTAGTATTAAAATGAAACGAAGTTGATTTGGTAATGAGTTTCAAAATAATATACCTAGACGTCTGTAGATATTTAAATATAAATCTCACATCCGAGTACATATATCTCTATAATTAGTATCCATCCAACAACTCCTCTTGGAGTCGAATTATCGGGTCTATGTCCTTCAGTAGTAACTATATGTGCGATAGTATGCAAATGTTGCCATTTCTTACACAAAAATCTGTGGGTCCATTTGTACCGCTAAATATAGTCTCATTATTATAAAAAAATCCATGCTTCTCCCTTTCTCTGTGTAAAATTTCGTGATATTCGGGCCATAATAATAACGGATCTTCTTTTGTTCAAAACGAACCTACATGTTGTCTGTATCGTCTGTATGTCAAATGTTGTCTGCATCGTGTTTACTGATTATAATGGGCGTGCGGAAGGGCACACATGGCTAGATCGACTTAACTGGCTGAGATATGACGATCGGTATATTAAAAGGTCTAGGAACAATATTTTCAGCGTTTAAAACTCTTGTGGCCACAAAAAGCTATAATACCCCGACAACATATTTCTGTATACTATACAAAATTATGGAAATTTTATTATAAGAACAACTCCAAATATCAAAATTCGATTCGAGAATCCCCAAATATGTAAAATTTCGCTGTAGTGAATAATGAAATATTACTTAAAATCACTTATTCGATATATGTAACTAATATAAGCGGAATAAATGATCGATCGGATATCCTTTATTTTTTAATTAAATGCTTTATTTTTTAATTAAATACAAAAGTATTGGTTGTTTCTAACACTTCTAGAAATTTTGGTTTCTATTCGATATTTCTTTAATATGCTTATTTACCATCCCATTGAAAATCGTCGAAATTTGAAATCCAGAAAGGGAGGTCTCCTTATTAAAACACTTGAAACAAATATAAGTTACCTTAGGTCAATGACCTTCTTATTGTTTAATGTGATTTACGTTTGAGCAAAGGTCAATGACCTTACATGAATTGTGAAGAGACTGTGACATATTAAAAGGGGTACAAGACCCGAGGTCGCAAGTAAATATAGGCAAGGTCCGAATTAATAACTAGGCTTAAGTTACACCCTTTTTATTTGTAATTATGTCCGATGTATAGTGTTTTAATATTTATATGTAAATTACAATATAACTTAACCATTATATACATACAGTGTTCTACATATTTACTAAGCACATGCTAGTATATATATTTCTATGACGTTCATTTGAATTGACAAATGTTTCCATTAGCCTAGAGCTCGTGGCCTCCACAAGAAGTTCCGAACTAATACAACTTTATATACCATCTAAAATAAGTGGAACAAATGCTCCACCCCCTTCTTCTTATCAAGCTAATATGTCAACAAATTAATTATGCAGGATTTTCGGTAGGAAAAGTCACAGGAAAATGTAGTTATTTATGTAGTCGTATTTCAGTGTGTTGTGTTATTAGGATATGTTATTAAAGGCGTTAAAATGTTATTCGTTTGCAGTCGTCGTTGTTGATATTTTACACCATTTCCAAGCATTTCAACGCGAAAGGGATTTTTTAGGAAACCCAAAAATAAATGAGAAAACAAATGGCCAATGACTTTGTTTCTCCTTGTCAATGGTGTTCGGACAAAGAACAAAAGCACAGTTGGATGACATGAAAGTGGAGAACGATTGGTAGCATGACTTCATTCTAAGTTGGTGGTGATTGCGTGAGTTTACAGGATTTCTTGGAAATTTTTGTAAGTCTTAACATCACCACCAACAACAGAAGAATTTGTTGTCCACCAACAAAAGGCTGTGGCAGGTAAGCATGGATGTATTGTTTTTGTTTTTGTCGTACTTAAATGCCTGGATGTGGGTCAATCACAAGAAAATAACAAACAAACGAGCGAACGAACGAAAGAAGTGACCACCATGTGGCGTATGATTAATTCGAAATTTCCAAATACAAACACACGATTAAAAAGGTCAAAGTTTGTTTTGTTACAAATTCAAGCCGTTCATGAATTGTAAATTAATTGAAGTCCAAGTGAACACCAAAAACAAAACCTAGCTGGAAATAGTTTCTTGAAAAACGTGTGTAAACTAGTAGAAGAAGTTAATTTATTATGAAATCAACCGAAGAAAAGCAAAAGTGAAAAAATATTTATTTTTTATTTAAATAAATAATTTTTTGTAGATAACAAAGCTTAGTGGGGCTAATCATATTTACGCCTTGCTGGGTTGTTTGCGTATTTACTTAGGTCTAATCAGAACCAGTTGATGGATGACTAACACAATGGTCCGTCGGGTCGTATGACTAAACATTATTGTCGATAATGGTTCAAAAGGAAGTAATGGGAAAATTCAAAACAAAACACCATGCTTATGACGTTGAATTGTTTACATTCGGTTTTGTGCATTAATCAATAGGGATGGCGATTGAAATATGTGAACTACTTTTGCAAAATCCCAGAACAATTTTATTAACAAACCAGTGAGCGGAGCCGTTTAGGTGGACGGGGCTGGCCATATGCTAATCTACACAACTACACGAACTCTAACTTTATTCCGAGCCTTGGCAATATTTCGTGATATTTGCACCATCTTGCACGATTAGAGATCAACATCACCTCTTCCTTACATTGACATATTTTCCGGGTATTACTAATATTCAGTACAGGTCTTCTAATCAATTGTCCAGATTCCCTTCACCGTGGGTTGTGTTGTGATGTTCAGCTTACAATTGTGGCCTATAGATCGACTCAAAAAATAAGGTTTTCGGTCCATTTCAAAATTATTATCTGATCATCACCAAAAAAAGCTGTTGTCCTTGGCCATAACTGGAACTTGGAAAAATTTCAAAGCAATCAGCGCTATATTTCCGCCTTCTAGTGTGGTATTGGGTTACTAAATGAAATCTACAACAATATAAATGGTTTCAATTTAAAGGTCAAAAACTCCTCTTGGATATACTATCAACTTCACGGGTCTATGTCCTTCAGAAGTAAATATATACTCATCAGAATACAAATTTTGTAATTTTTCATACAAAGTCTGGGTCCATTTGACCCGCTAAATATTGACCGATCCAAAAAGCTAAAATTTCGAGGGCCATAATTGCGGCCTCTGGAGCGACCAGAAAATCCGATAAAATATATTGGACGGAAGGACGGACACACATGTCTAGATTGACTCAGCTACTCGACATATGATCGGTGTTATTTTTTCCCGGTGTTACAAATTCTTGGGGCTGCCCAAAGCTATAATACCCTGACAACAAAGTTGTGTAGGGTTTAAAAACTTGGCTTCTAAATTATGAAATAAATGAAAAAAAAAACAAATGTAATGTTATATGGGGCCAAATATCCAAGAAGTGATATCAATATATGTGAAAAACTTCAAAATTTCGTGATTGCAATAGATGAACATGGCTAAATCTTCTAGGAACTTCAATTTACCAAAGAGGAAGCTTTAAAAATACGATAACGGGACATTTTTATGGGGTTCCGTCATCATCACCTTTCAAGAACCGGAAAACCAAATTACACCACTTCGGTATTATAGCAAGGCTAAAGAATTTAAAATACCGAAAACGGAAAGGGATTTTTTGGGGGATACGTCAAAAATATTAACCTGTAATACAATTTTTCTGCAATGTTTTTTAAAATCCCGGACTGCATTGCGGATGAAAAATGCGGCAAACACTTTCAAAATATCGAAAATTGGACTGGATCATTATATGAACCAAAACATATGAAAACATGAACCGATATATGCTGTAGCTGCTCTACTGTTATCGCACAATGGCTTGAGGTGTAAGTCACTGCTCGCAACGAAACTGAAGTAGTTTCGGATCGTACACAATAGTGGTAATAAGACATCAATAAGGTGTATTTGTCAGCACCATAAGTGCAACATCACACTTAATCTCTTGGGTCGACGTTGGGCGCCATTGTCAACGAAACATCACATGGGGACAACTGTGAGTCTGCATTCAGCAAACCTTTAGGATTGGTCGATTTTCGTATTTATAGACTGCATTGTTATATTTTCTTGGGAAATCCCTAATAGAAACATTTTCTTTAATACTATGTTCGGTATATGGACTATTGACATGAATATTAAATGAAAATATGTACATATATTTATATGAGTGTCTATGTGTGAGTTTGTGTTTTGGTCTTTAATTATGGGCAGTGAAATGTAAATAAATTGCCCACCCAAAAAGGTTGTTGGTCAAAAAGTCCAAGGATTTGCGTGTCAGATTGTAAGTAACACCACCAAGTAGATTTAGATTTAGGATAACAATCCTTTTTCCGAAAGCAAAAAAAAAAAAACTAAGAATAATATTAAAGTTATTTTTGAGAAAAACCAAATGTCTAATGGAAAAACATGCACACAATAATAATAAATTTGTTTGTTTGTCGTAAAGAATATGGCATTTCAAAAAATAGAAAATAATTTCAGCACTCAATTTCTGTTTCATTTTACAACTCAGCATTTTAGTAGATAATGCACATCATTGACATCACAGCGCATTACAACAACAATTTTGCAAAATTGGAGACCACACCTAAAACCATCATGTAATGCGTCTATTTTATTGAACTCTTCTTGATTTGTGTTTTGTTGTTCTATTCTAGTTTTGCTTTATCAACTGAGACTTAATCACATTGGTATTTCTTAGTTGTACTCACCGCTTGTATGGCTTCCACGGAGTCCTTACTGTGCATCGTCCAGAACATGGCTATGATAAAGAGGAAGTTATAAAACTCATAGGCTCCATGACCCCACATGCCCATCATGGCATTCGATATGAATATAAAGTGGACGAACGCAACCAGCTGTAAATGAGAAAACATAGCGAGAAGCGGTGTTGTTTAGTTAGCGATTTCTATGTAACGAACGGCAATCAAATGAAGTGCAAACTATTTAAATGGTAATATTTGGAATATTAAACAACCAGTTGGATGAATGGTGCAGTTGCCTCAGTTTGCTAGCTGCCAGCCGAACATCATCACAATCGTGTGGTGACATCATTCTAAACTAGAATATGCATGGAGAACTTGTACATCTAATGTATAAATGCATATGTATGTACCTCAATAAGTAAGTTAATAAATCTCTCCCTCAGAAGCCATATAAATTGTTGGAACAGTAACGTCGTCTCAAGCATTCAAGATATCAAATGTTGTTTGTGGCTGTGAGGTGGCTCAGTTGACTCGTTCATGAACCCCCCAATGGATGTTGTTAATATTTATTTATCATTCTTTAGGTTTTTATATTAGTATCAAGTTGGCGATCATCTGCTGTCGATTAATTATAAGATTCATATTCGTCAAGCCGATAAATTATAAAAAAATAATACGGAGTAAATAACATCTACCGGGATATAACTATGATGGCATCATTTGAAGGACTGTATATCAATATCTTAACTGATTATATTTAAAAGATCCATTCTTTAATTACAGGATTACCAACATTATCCCATTTCAGAATAATAACTTTGATGCTATGCGTAATTCATATTTCCATCATATGATATCCTCCAGTTAGCGGTCTCTTACCCACAAAGATGTTAAAGATGCAGCATAAGGTGGGCTATTTTGAAGTTTGACGATTGAATACGAGAGGATTTTCAATGATATGTAGGCACTTCAATTGACCAAATAGTCGAACTCTATCCATAAAATGACTAAATCTAAAATCTTTAAAATAACGTTATATAGGAATATAAAAAATGTGGCCGGTTTAGTCCATATTTGATATACCATGTCTATATCCATAATCTGCACTGGAAAGCTACATGGAATAATGGAAGTTATCGGATTTTTCCATGTATATTTACACTACAGAATAGTTCGTAGATATGGATTCTTCCAACCAAGAAAAACCAAGATCATAGTGATCTCAAAAGGAAATATATAAAAACATTGACCAAGCAATATATAAAAACATCGTGAGTGCCGTACTAGACGACCATTCCCCATCCATGACAGCAGAGTTACACCAAGCGGCCAAGCCACGCTATGGTCCAGATGGTCAGCTGGCGCAATTATTTTTTGGGACATACATGTTGTCAGGGTCTCTCAATAGATAGATAACCCCAAATGTTAAATTATATGACAGTAGAATAAAATCAGCCACTGCAATTGTTTTTTTTTTTTTATCGAACATCGGCTTGTGACAGAACAACTTAAAAAAGGTTTCGAAGTCTTGTGCGCATCTCAACCAATTTGAAAGACCATGTTCCGAGATGTTGTCTTCCACTTGATCTTTCCATCGAATTCGCCTTCCCCTTCTACGTAAACCATCAGTTCGCTTTTATATGCCATTTGAGATGGGGCATCCTCATCCATACACACAACATGACCTAGCCAATCTAGTTGATGCAGCTCGATACGTCCGACAACGCCGATGTCCGAAAATAGATGATCGACGCAGAGCGGCCCATATAGCTTTCGTGAATTTTTCTCTCAAGCACCCCGAGAGCTGCCTCATCTACTTGCGCAAGTACCCATGCTTCTGATTAATATTCCAGTACGGGTATTATTAGCATCTTGCAGATTGTGAGTTTGGTCTGGCAAGAGGTGACATTGTTTCAGAAGTACTTACTTAAAACATAATAGCTTCTGCTGGCCAGCATGCTATTTTCTGCCAGACCCACTTTGGCAGATTCCTTCTCAATTTGTTCAAAGGTGGCTGTTATCGCTCGCAATGTTCGGCCCATTATGTCGATGTCATTGCTGCTGTTTGGAGTACAGAGTGCCACTTCTGTTCACATTTGCCTGTTTGACCTTTTCCAGCGGGATGTTATAAAGATCATACGACAAACTGTCAGCTTGTCTGAATCCTCGTCGGGTATTGAAGGGCTCCGAGAGGTCCTTTCCTACTTTAACTGCTGACCTTGTGCCACTTAAAGTTATCCTGCATAGCCGTATTAATTTTGCAGGAATACCGAACGCAAACATGGCTTTAAACATCGAATTCGGATTTTTAGTCGACCAATAGTTGAAATGTGTCGATGTATTTTTCGTGGGTCATTACCAGGATTTGGCGCAGAGTGAACATCTGCTCAATGGTAGATTTACCAGGCCTGAAGCCGCATTGGTGTGGTTCAATAAACGGAAATGCCAAATTACATTCAATTTTGTTAGAAAATGTGTCTAAGGCATTAAAATATCTTAAACTGGGCTGGACATGAATGTAGGACCTATAATAAAATTTATACCAATAATTCGCATTTGCAATACCAAATGCCTAGATCGCGATACGGTTTATATAAGCTTTAACTTATGATGGGAGGAATATACACCTCTTTTAGTCGACTTTGCGATTGATAAACACTGTTTAAAATACTACAAAAAATTCCAAATAATTTTAAATGCCAAATCCACACTAATTAAGGAAAAGTTTTGAAATTTCATAGATAAATAAAATGTCTAGCAACCGTTTGATAAATCCCTCATTTTCCAATATTTTGTTTTATTTATGATTGTTTTTTTTTTTAAACGACGTGTTTTTGTTTGTTTTTATTTTACTTTATGATAAATTCAAATTCATGTTTCTTGTTTTCAATTGAAATTTTTCAAATTAAATTATTAATTGAACATAGATTGTTTATTTTTTAATAAATGATATTTCTATACCCCCCACAATGACCAACTGCCTTGGATATTTATTGGCACAAACGGCGGACTCATAAAAATTTAATTTCATTCCATAAAAATTGTCTATTTAATATTTTTAACAGTGGCGATTTGAAACGTCAATGAAGTAGTTATAAATGTTTATGAGTAATGTCGGCAGATGGTCTGTTTTGCTGGTGTCTGAACAATCTGTCATTTCCCACACTTTGATTGAGGAAAGAGGCCTAAAAATGAAGAATTCATAATGTAAAGGAAATTTAGGAATAATTGTGAATATATTACATACAAATGAGAAATGAGAATATATGACATACACATGACGATGTGACAACACACACCTTTATTAAAATCACAAACTGATCAAATATATAATCTGTACAGTTGGTTTTACTTGCATGACTCAATCCATTCCAGAAGTCCAATTCATATCAATCTCAGAAATAGTGCTAAACAATGAACTATGATTGTGAACCATTTATATTCGAAGAATTATTAAAAAAGTTGTAAAGTGTCTTATACATTTAAAATATTGTTTTAAAGATTTCTATTTTTTCCGATATCATAAAGGAAAAAATTTAAAATATTATTAATCACAAAAATAAAAAAATAAACAAAAATACAATTGTGGGTATTTCAATTCGGGAACGCCCCGTATGTACTGCCTTTCCCAATTAGACAATTCCTTCTGCCATGTATTTATTTATTTTTTATTCGTCCTATAAGTGACCTAATAGCTTTTCAGACAATTGAAAAACGAAAAACAACACTCTAATGATTGTTTAAACAAACAGGAGGTGTTTTCCGCGTTGTCCTTTTTTGAAAATAAAACGATATCATTTATTCAACCAATTAGAATTCATGGTTAAATTGTCAGTGTCACAAAGGTGGGAGGGTGTGAGGGAGGGGAGATAAACATTTAAAAGAACAACTGCTAAACATTTATACTTTGTAATTTTCTATGCAATGCTTAATAATTAAATGCTTCCAAAATAATAACGTCCTCCGTGTGTCTGTAACATAGCATTTATGGGCCTCCCCATGGGGTGCTAGAAAGTGGACGAACACACACACGTAGGCACATATAGTGATGAATAACATTGGCTGTGTAAAATAATCGGCTATCCAATTATGGAATATCAAGGTACTTGTCATTGTTGTAGCTGTGTTTTGTTTTTTTATTAAAAAAAATTGTTTTGTTTGTATGTTTATTAGTTTGTACTAAGTGTATATTAGGGAAATTTTAAAATAATAAAATAAGATACCTGTCATACTAGCTATACCTCCAGGTTTGGTTAGGAGGATAGTCGGAACAAAATTTTTAGAGCATTTGAATGCTTCAATATAGAAATCTGTAAAAAATTAACTAAATATTTCGAGATTGTGATTTGGATCGATACACGAAAATAGCTCAACACAACACTTTATCGGGTCAAGGACCAATCATAAATTTTGAGAGAGCGCTAATAGTTTAGACTCCTTTTGTTGACCAATAGTTTAGGCAACATAATCGCTACAGATCGATACGTCTGACTATGTCGATGTCAGAAAATAGATGTTATAGCTCACGGTTCATTCGACGGCGATATTCACCGTCGACGCTGAACGGCCCATAGATCTTCCGGAGAATTTTTCTCTCAAACTCCCATGCTTCAGATCCATACAACAGCACGGGTAATATCAGCGTCTTGTAAAGTGTAAGTTTGGTCTGGCGAAAGATGGAATTGCTTTTGAGTTACTTACTCAGCCCATAGTAGCATCTGTTGACCAACACTATTCTCCTCCGGATTTCAAAGCTGATGTTATTATATTTTGTTTATGGCGGTACCGAGTTATATAAAATCGTTCACTACCTCGAAGCTGTAGTTCTCAAGTTCTACAGTTGGTCCAATTCTACTGAACGTCTTGCGCATTGATACCATTAGCTTGGTCTTTTCGCCATTTGCTGCCTGTCCCATTTTGACAGACTCCTTTTCAATTCATTCCAAGACTGTTGCCGTTCGCAATGTTCGACCCAGTAGGCAAGTAACATATGCTCTTTGGTGTACAGAGTGCCACTTTGTTCACATTTGCTTCTCGTATGACCTTTTCCAGCAGGATGTTAAACAGGTCACACGACAAACTATCACCTTATATGAATCCTCGTTCGGTATTGAAGGGCTCCGAGAGGTCTTTTCCGACTTTAACTGCTGATC